TTCATGAAGAACCAGACACTYGTGTGACCTTGACTGCACAAATGTTTTCACAACTTTGCATTTCTATATTTATTCAGTAATATTTCTTTCACTTAGTTGTCAGTTCAGAAACCTGTGAAAATAATAAAAATAAATAATTTGATTTTTTAAATCTTAATTAAAAATAAGTGGACATGTTTGGCAATGCTAGTTTTAATAAGCAGATGTGCAATGCACAGAAAATTACAATCCATCCTGTAGTACAAGCAGAAATTTATAATGGATTTCAAGGATACTAAAAAAAAAAGTAAAATAAAATTACAAAGTCCTTCTGTGTGTTTCTCATACCACTGCGCATTTTTGAAATGCTAAAACTTGCCATACTCTCCCTCTGACTTCCAGGATGGTTTCTCAAGATGTGCTGTCAAAGCAGGGCCTTTAATCATCTCCCCAAAAGCTTTAAGCAAAACCACTTCCATGTAAACTTACACTCTTAATTATACAGTCACTCATTTTTGCTTTTGAGGGGGATAAATTAAGATATAACAAAAATCCTTTCATTCTTGTAGGCTTATAGAAGCTGTGATATAGTTAGTTTAGGAAATATGAAATATATCTACATAGTAGTTGCAAATATGGCTTGTTTGAAGCTGATTTCCATCAGCAGTTGAGAACCTGACCTCGGAAATGAGGCCTGCCCAGAGGAAATGATTAAATGATAACTTTAATAAAGTGCTCTTGTTGTTGTTTCCTTTAGTGATAATACATCCYATGGCTTTTGGAGTGAACTACACCAATGGGCAGATCTACAAATGGATTTRGTTTTAATTGTCTCCTCCTTTATACTTGGTTTTATGTCTTTGTGACATTATTGACTCCAGTGAAGTTATTTCTCTCCTGTGCCAGTGTAAGAATAATGAGGAAACCTTTTCCCAGCAATCTGCAATGTAACCTTGTGGAAGACACTMCTGTAATTTATATATTGATAAAATGAATATAATATATTGCACAGAGGTTTTGTGAGCTTTAATTAATATTAGAATAGTTTTACATTGAATAATGATGGAATAGTCTTGAGTTAATTAAGTCTAGATCTCAAGGACATCAGCCTGTGGTAGTTGAATGCAGCAGATACTGTGGGCGTGCCAAACTTCCAGAATTGCCCTCTTTTAAAAGCCATTGTTTTCAAGGTGCCCCAGTGTTGACTTGAAATAACTGTATCATTTGTTTCCACATTGTCCCATGAACTATAAACAATTTTTTATATAAAATTGAGGTGAGATTTGGTCATTAAAATACATACCTAAGGAAAGAGTTGAATATATATATATATATATATATATGTATATATGTATATATGTATACATGTGTATATATATATATATATATATTTAAGTAGAACTTTGAATGCTTACAGAAATACGTCATTGAAAATTTGGTTACTTGAAACAATTCAAAAGTATTTTCTGTGGCAGGAGAGGTGAGTGGGGGTATCCCTGTTGATAACATGACATTAAAAAATAATTTTTATCTAGCGAGCAAATTTAATTCATTGTGAAATATTTAGGAAAAAAAAAAAAAAAAGCAGAATTTCTTAAAATTAATTTTCATAGAAGTAGTTCATGCTGATGTTTCTGTTGGGTTGGAAGGTTGATGGGCAGCTCCCACTGAGCCCTCAGTTGGATTTCGGGGTTCTGCCCTAAGTGAGGGTACCAGATTCCATTCAATTATTACTTCACATTGTTCCTATCATTTGATTTTTGCTTTCTGAGTCATTTCATCCCCACTTCTCATTTTCATTGTGCCATTTTTTTTTCCTCCACCTTTAACCATTTCATTCTAACCCATTGTCATTTCCAGAAGAGCATCCCCTGTGTGACGTAGGGGAGTTCCTGTGCCACGATCGTGTCACGTGTGTGTCCTGGCACTGGCTGTGTGACGGGGAGCCCGACTGTCCCGATGATTCAGATGAGTCCTTAGACACCTGTAAGTAAAGAAGGACCCACTCTTTTATTTTATTTTATTTTATCTCCCTTTGAAGTGTAACATTTTTTTGTAGTTCTAACTAGACAACTGAAAGAGCAGGTTCCATTTTTGTTTTATCAATCCTGTATGAATCTTCCTGTCGAGGGGAGCAGGTCACATTCTTTATGTAGGTGAGAGGCAGAAGAAATGGAAGAGATGGAAGGTGTTTTGTTCTTGTGCCACTCTGTAATGAGCWCTGGAGCATGTGTCCCCTCTGCTCTCACCGATGGGCTGAGAGTACAAAGACAGACACAGGAAAATGTGTTCCTATAAATACATTTAGGGGATGTAAAGGGGTGGAAGAGAAGAGTGCAAAATACTTTCAGTACRAATCTGAAAAGCATACAAACATCAAAGGGAAGAATGAAAGAAGATGTGAGAGCTATGAGGACGAAAGAAGCAAAGAAAGGAAAATGATGGAAAGCTTTAATAAAACATATTTAATTATAGTGAAGACCTTGTTGGTTATTTTTAATGTGGCTAAGAGCTTCTGAATACCATAGTAGCAACCTTACAGGCTTTTTTCTTATCAGCCTTGTAGACTGCTGATGAGGTGTTATTAAATCTTAATGTTCCCTTGTTTCCTGTGTTCTGAGGAAAATGAGGGAATTTCCTGATTTCATCCCCAGGATAATCACTTAATGTAAGAGAAAAACCATGTATTTTGTATCAAAGCAATACTGACAATCAGGAAGGCTGGAAATGGGGTGTGCCGCTCAAAGCAGAGAAAATATCAAACATCAGACAGTTTGTAGGAGTCTCATCTTTAAAATGAGGGACAGAGCTCAAGATGTCTGGGAGCTTTTTCTGTCTGGGCAAACACTGTGGTGCTGATTGCAGCCTTCCTGCTCCGGCGCTTGTTCCCTGGAACTGATCGGGAAATTGTTCCCTGGAACTGATCGGGAAATTGTTCCCTGGAACTGATCGGGAAATTGCCTGCGGGGCTGTGGCGAGGGTGCTCTGATCAACCACTTTCCTCACGCTCTGGGATCCTCAGCAGCAAAATCCTGCAGTGGGAACCATTGGGTATAACTGGGATTTTGTTCCTGCACTGGTGATTGATTACTGCCCCCTCTAATTAGTTAGCACTGCGTTAATATGCACCGTTAAAAGTTTTTCTAACTAATGAATGTCGAGATAAGAGCAGAGAAATGGCCCTATACAGAGTTTTTAGCTTGCCTATGCCTTGATATTCACCATATAGCTCCAAATCCTGCAGTTTGCTGGATGCCCAGGTCTTTTCCTCTTGAGAACGTGGTTATTGTACTGGTTTGTAAGCCCTGTGTTCAGTAATGCCATTTGTCATGCCATATAAAAATCTTGGTGTTTGAAGGTTATKAATGGMTTGAARGAACAGGGATGGGTTGGGAAAGAGRGTCTGCACTTTTCCTGACATCAGCCAGCGTGGTCCTCTCGGAAACACCTTCCCCTTTGCAACTGTGAASAGTTTCTGCCAAATGCTTTGCTTAGGCTGTCCTGAGTCAAAGGTGGGGGTCAGCACTGTGGCTTTTCTGGCTGTCGAGAAGGAAGGTGTTTGAATCCTTATCCTTTTCCAGCTTCCATGGCCCTTTTCTGACAAGCTGCTGGTTGATGAGGTGCCTGGGCAGCACTGGACTGTGCAGGCTGAGATAATCATTACCTGGGTCTCTGTTCAGCTAAGCCCTGGACTCTGAGTGAGAACCAAGTGACAGCTCTGGGACATTGAGTTAAACTTGGTTACATAATTGCTCACGATTTTGTTTTGGACTGGATGGTTCTGTGTTTTTTTAGTCAGCATAATTTGCTGTCAAACTGTTGAAATATGTGTGCCTACTCYGGTGTCATCAGGTAAGTTGTTTCTCATTAAAGATTAATATAATGCTCCTGAATTTTTCTGCTGATACTTTGCACCACGGTAYCTGTAGGAACTTATAAATTACATTAAAAAATATTCTTATGATATATTTGATCCCTGCTGCTMATGCCAGGGACGCAGCACATTCAGTTTTTGTGCACTTGAGTCATGTGTCTGTTTGTTTATAGATGAATGTGGCCCCTATTTGTCAGCTCTTTTTTGACTTACATWTGATGAATTGTTTGGTGTAGCCTGACAGATATTGCTAGTTGTTCCTATAGCCATAAACAAATGGATTTTGATTGATTTTCTGTGGATTTGTGCCTAGTAATAGGGTTTTCTGGTTTCTAATAACATGCAGGCATTGATCAAAGCTTTTCCTGCGAGTGGAAGTTCTTAACTTCTCTCCTGTGGGGATTTCAAAGTGTGGAAAAGGAGAGAAATTCTCAAGCTGCAGCTTTTCCCACAGTGAGAATATGAGAAGTCTTATTAATCTCATCACTCAACCATCTATTTGCAGAAAACTTCTAGGATCTAAGTATCTTTGTGAGCTCTCTCCTGGTGGCATTTTAGCCCAGGTTTGTAACAGAACCTGAAAGTTTTGTTAGTCTGTACAAACATATGCCTGTATCAACTAATTACCTCAGGAATCCACCTGAAATCCTTCAATCTTGTTCCTTTATTATGGTTTGTTAGGACATCTAGGATGGGACAGAGGGCAGAAAAGAGTAGCATCCTTAGGTGGTGTTGAGTTCAGTGTCTGTGTTGGCAAAGGCTGGGACAGGGCTCTTTGCAGCCGCTGCTTCCCTGAGCTTTCAGGGGGTGGGATGGAGCTCTCCTGGCTCTCCTTTTGGGGTTTTTTTGGGGTTTGGTTTTTTCTTTTTTTTTCAGTCAGCAAACAGCTTCCACCACCAGACTGTTCCCCTTCGACTTCTTCTACTTCCCATCATCCTCTAAATGGTCTCACAAACAGCTTTGTAAAACCARAAGTGAATTCCTGCAGCACCTACWCTTGTGTTCTCTTCTGTTTCTTAAYAGCTGCAGTTCTKTCTGCTCGCTGAAGCTGCTGTTTTGTACAGTACCAAGGAAYCTGACTCAGTAACTTACAATGAATAATTTAGTGAACAGATCTTGTTGCTTTTCTGCTCCAGAGTTGTTCCTGAGTAAATTGATTTTTTTTAAAATGAAGAGTATTAATAAAAGTCTTGACCAAGTAGTTTTTACCCTTTCTTGGGTGGGCTCTYGGTTGTTCATAGGGTTTTTGCAAATAGTCAGGATTCAAAAATCAATTTACTCAGCCTAATCAGATGATGCTGGGTTCTTTAGTAGGCAAAATCARCAAGCTCACTTGAAATCAATAGAACTTTATCAGACAGCCAGAATCTGGCCAGACACTTTGGCTTTTACAAATAGCTGTGAGTCTGGAGGTTGAAGCAAATGTTTGCAGGCCCTTTCTGTAAAAAGAAAAAAATAAAATGGCTGCTTGCAGACTCACCTGATGTGATTTTGATGAGACAGTCAAAAACTCAAATCTACTGTTAAAAAATACAAAGTTTTAAAACATAATTATTGACAACCATTTGTATCATCTGCTGGCTCCACTGCTGCCTGCTGTAGGCAGTCATTACTTAGAAACATCAGTGTAATATTAATTTTCTTGGGGGTGGTCTTAGTGATGATTTTAGTATTTTTGGATTTGTTCGTTTGTGTTTCCTTTTTTTTTTGGTATTTTGATTGGATTTTTTGGTTGTTTTAGTTCTTATTTTAGTTCTTGCCACTGGTATTGGTTTTAAGCTGCAAGTATTTGCTTATCCCAGCAACTGCTATGGTGGGATAAATAGAGAACTTCACTAATKGATTGTATCTTAAAGATCCAATTCATAATTGGATAATTATAATAATTTATATTGTTGTTTTGGGGTACCTGTGCGTTGTGTATCCCACATTTGTACTTCTGAATAACACATTCACCCTCAGTAAGCCATGCCCAAGGAGTACCGTGCTTTCTGAAAGCAGACAAATATTTGAYGTGATGTGCTATTACCTGCTTTTCTCCTCAGCCTTCTGCCAACGAAGCTGAGATCTAAAAGGTGCATTGGCAAATTACTCCTTCCATTTAGTACTTAAGGCTCTTTCTGTGTGTTTGCAGCTTCAGAACTCGTCTGGCTTGCATGTTTTGTTCAAATTTCAGAATGCGCTGTGCCAGGGTGAGGTGAAACAAAGGAGCRGMGAGAGAAATTGCTTATTTTCTGCARCTTCCTTTTGAAGYTGTGCACACTGRTTATGGTTGGGTGCTSTAATTCTGGGTGCAGCAGTTCCACAAAGGCTGATTTATTGTCTCTCAGCCACGGAGTACAGGAAGGTGCTGTAACAATACCTGAAAGCTGTTCTGTGAAGAGAGGCTTGAGCTCTGGCACGAGGTTCCTCTGAGCTCCTTTGGTGTCCATCTGTGGCAGATTGCAGGCAGCAGAGCTTTGCACCAGAACAACCCATCAAAACCATCTGTGACCCCAAGCATGGCTTGAATGTCATGAATAACTTCAATACGAGATCTCCCACTAATAGAGCAGAGCTCTAAAAGGTACTGCCAAACCCCAAAGTGCCTGACACTGATTTATTTTAGCAGCAACAAAACCCTGAAAACATTTCACAGCCAAGCTGCAACTCTCGTCTCTCCTGTTGTCCTCAACTGTCCTTTGTTTTTGATCCTGACACTGTTCTGATATTTGAGCTTTCCTAAATGTTACCCAAATTCTGTTTGCATACCTTCCACCCACACAGTTTTTGTGGCTAAGTTGAAACAACTCTAGTTRCCATTAATAAATCATTAAATTTGAATGGTCCCTGTCTCTGGAAGTCTGAGTAGATGCAGCCTTATGCTAACATGTTGAAATTATTTGTGATAATTATCTTTCTCTGGGATGTTGAGGGAATGTCATCTTCTATAATCATGATTAAACTGAAGTTGGAGGAGCAAAAGAAATGCAGCAACCAGAAATACCTTGCTTAAAAGCTTGAGTCTCACTTTGTTTGCTAAAAGTGTGTCTTTCATTCTCTGGATGCTAATTACGGGAGACTGGCTTCAGAAGCTTAAAAATTGTTAATTGAGTACCTCTGTTGTAGTTCT